GTCTGGTTTTATTCACTGCTCTGAATGTCTCACAATCCTGGGAAATTCATTGAATTATGTCTTTAATAATTTAATTCTCAGCGGATTCTGGCACAAACTAGGCACGGTGACAGTGTTTGCTGGTGTTATCATTCTCTTTGTGGAGCTCCTGTAGGTCAGACATTTTCCTCAGGTCTGGGGATCTTTGGAGGTCCTCTCAAAGTCCTTTTTAATATTGAGATACAGGACAGGCACAATGGCTCATGCCTATAATCCCAGCACTTTGGGAGGCCGAGGTGGGCGAAGTGCTTGAGCTCAGTAGTTCGAGACCAGCCTGGGCAACAGAGTGAGACACCATCTCTACAAAAAAACAAAAACAAAAACAAACAAACAAAAAACCCCTCCCACACACACAAAAAACATTAGTCGGGTGTGGTGGTACATGCCTATAGTTCCAGCTACTTGGGAGGCTGAGGTGGGAAGGTGGCTTAGGCCTGGGAGGCAGAGGTTTCAGTGAGCTGAGATCATGCCACTACACTCTGCCTAGGCAAGAGAGCCACAGCCAGCCCCTGTCTCAAAAAAAAAAAAAAAAGACTAAGATATTAAAATGCTCTATTAGCTATCTATGGCTGTGTAACAATTATCCCCAAATTTAGCAACTTCGAATAATAAGTTTTTTATGACCTCACAATTTTTTGGGGTCAGGAATTTAGGAATGGCTAAAGTGGGTGGTTCTGGCTCTGGGTCTTTCATGAGGTTCCAGTCACGAAGCTGGCCAGGGCTGCAAAAATCCTCACAGGAACTGCTTCCAAGATAGCTCACTCACATGGCTGTTGGCAGGAGGACTCAGTTCCTCACAATGTGGGCCTCTCCAGAGGCTGCTCGAGCATCTTTACAACATAGCAGCTGGATTTGCTGAGAGCAAGTGATCTGGAGAGAATAAAGAGGTGGCTATAATGCCTTTTATATCCTACTCTTGAGTGTCACACACCATCATTCATTTCTGCCACATTCTATTTGTCAGAAGAGAATCACTAAGTATGGCCTCCACTTAAGAGCATGGGAATTAGGCTCTATCTTTTGAATGTAGGAGCACCAAAGAATCCATGGACATTTTTTCAAATAACCACAAATGCTATCTGCAAACTGTGGGTGTGTGTGTGTGTGTGTGTGTGTGTATGGGGGGGTGTGTGTGTGTGTATGTGTGTGTGTGTGTGTGTATGGAAGAATTGACTGACTGGCTTCCCAAAGATGGGAAAATGGGGTGCTGGTCTTTTCACTGGGGTGGTGGTCACCGATGGTACCTGTAGGCCTTTTTTCTTGGGTTGATCTGTTTTCTCAGAGTGATACCCTCCAGTTTTTGCTTTGAGGACCAAAGTCAGACAGCCAGGTTTGGGGAGTTAAGTAACGTCAGGGTTTGAGGTGGTCTCACCATTCAGTATGCAGATTGTATTTTTGAAAAACCATTCATTAATTTTTTAACCATTAATTTTCTTCATGTGGTTTCATATGTTGATTTACAGCTGTCTCGAGTGGGAGGTTTTCTTTGTCTTTTTGTCTGCTCTTTGGGCTCCCTTCCTTGTCTGAGTATATTGCAGTTGCTCCTACTCAGTCCCCGGAACCCTCAGACTAGAGCCAGGCTTTGTACTGGTGACTTGGGGCTCCCACTACATGATTGTCCCAGCATATAATAGACAACTCACTGAGCCTAGTGGGTGGGTTGGCTCAGCTGCCCTAATTTAAGGCAGTTTTGTATAGGTAAGGCCTTAAAATAGGTGTCCAGTAGTGGACGGCTGCCTCATGGAGTGGAGAACTCCTGGTCCCTGGAAGGATTCTAGGAAAGACTGGGTGGTTGCATATTGGATATGGGATTTCTGCATTGAAATCAGTGATTGCTACAATTTTATGAGGAGCTTGAGACTTTTGGATTCCTTAGGGAGCAGCACATCAGTGTCATCCTCATCATGCTGACAGTGACTGATGTGTCGTGATGGTAGCCAAAAGTTACTGAGTACTTACTATGTGCCAGGGACTTTTCTAGTCATTGTACCATATGTTAGCTCATTTAATCCCCATAAGAAGTGTACACAGTAGGTGCTATGAGTATCCCTATTTTACTGATGAGGAAACAAAAACAGGGAGGTTCAGTAATTTGCACAAATCAGTTGGGAGGGGGCAGAGCTGGGGTTAGGAATCAGGCGGTCAGCTTCAGGTGTGTGCTCTTAGCTGGCACTCTCTCCTACCAGCTGTCAAACAGGGGCTGAGCCACAGGCCTCCCCACCCTCATGACAGCCAACACTGAGGAGGAGGAGGGGTCCACAGAGCTTCTCCAAGTGAAATCAATGTGTATAGAGGAAAACTCAAGGCTTCAATCATACATTAATGGCTCCTGACCACACAAGACAGATTTCAGTCAAACAGGGGACCAGTGGCTAAGAGGCCATCTTCCCAGAAAGAAGCCCATTTTATTCTTTTAAAGATAGACTTTAACACTCTTGTTGAGCTTTAAAAATGTCAAGTGAAGCTTTTACTGCCAGAGTGGATGCCCTCCCACAATCAGGTTAACGTGTTCTCTCCACTGTGTGGCTCCTGGGAGATGGAGAAGGGGATCTGATACTCATGAAATGAATACCAAAAGGTTCTTGGTGCCCATGCTTGCCCAGTCCCTAGGGTGGGGCTATCCCAAAGGGCATAGGAGGAGGAGACAGCCTTCAAGTGCTGCCAGTATCTTGGCTTCATTTAACTTTTTAAATACAATAAAATGGTGGATGTTAATTTCCAGATCTCCTTGGTGTTCATATACATTCAAATACAAATATAAGTATGAGCAAAGTGTTCACTAGGCAATCTGTAATCCCGCTGTCATTTTGTTTTAAATAAACGCTTCCTCATTTTTCCTCACCACCATCCTTTCCCCAGATGGGAGCTGCCAGGGGCTCCCCACTCCTAATATCTGCGGTTCATCAGTCATGCAGCCCAGCTGTTCTTGTGTACTCACAGTTGTGGCTGCCCCTCTGCCCTCATGCCACCAGCCTCTCCATAGCTGCCCCTGCCACCATAAAGAGGGACGTCACTGCCTTGGTCCCTGCACAGCTGGGGCGAAATGATGGCTGATTCCTTGTGTCACAGAGGCAGTCAGCCATTCCCCCTGCTAGAAACAAAGCAATCTCGGCACATGCTTAGGGCGGGTGGATTCCCTTGAGAAGAACGCCACTCCTCCCATCGATTGGTTGCCTATGCCCTGATTGTTTCCCAGAGGCAAACACCATGAGCACTCCCAGTCAGGTGGCAATTTTTCTCTTTCTGTAAATATACATTTCCCACAGGGGCAACGGAGCACACTGCTGTGCATATGCTTTCCTAGTTGAGCAAAAGAAGGAAATGACTATTTAGGATGTTGTAACTCAACAGCTCTTTTGGTCAACAGCCATGTAAACAACCCCGAGATCTATCATTTTGTTTTTGAAATGACAAGGCAATGTTCACTTCAAAAATTTACCGATCACTTATTCTAAATGCAAGGCACTATTTAATCATGGAGATAAAAGAGCAAACACACTCAGCCTGGGCTCCTTCTCCCTGGAGTTGATATGCCTGTGCGCATTTGTGTCCTCTGAGCTGGGTGGCATGCATATTGAGTGGAATCCTCCTGGAGCTCAAGGGAGGTCAGGAGGCCCCCAGCACATCCTGAGACCTTTGGTTTGAAAGCTGACTGGTTGTCAGTCCATGGGCTAGCTTATGGGAAGCCAGTGCTCCCCACTGGTCTGAATAGCCTCTGATATGGTTTGGCTGTGTCCCCAACCAAATGTCATCTTGAATTGTAGTTTCCATAATCTCCACGTGTCATGGAAGGGACCCAGTGGGAGGTAATTGAATCATGGGGGTGGTTACCGTCATGCTGTTCTCATGATAGTGAGTGAGTTCTCACAAGATCTGATGGTTTTCTAAGGGGCTTTTCCCCCTTTTGCTCAGCACTTTTCCTTGCTGCTGCCATGAGAAGAAGTATGTGTTTACTTCCCCTTCTGCCATGATTGTAAGTTTCCTGAGGCCTCCCCAGCCATGCTGAACTGTGAGTCAATTAAACCTCTTTCCTTTATAAATTATCCAGTCTTTGGTATGTCTTTATTAGCAGTGCGAGAATGGACTGAACAGTCTCCTTCATTATTTTGGTCTGAGCCCTGATTTGGCTACATTTAAGATGGGATTGGCAAATACATGGCACACCTTACCCTTCAATTCACTGTCTGCGGATCACTAGCTAGTCACGACCCTCTTTCCTACTAAGCCCAGATGTGGCCTCAGAATCTGTCTAAACCCAGTACCCCAGGCAATGATGACTAAATGTCTAGAGTGCTGGTTTAATTGGAGAGAGGGAATCTCTTGGTGGGCCCTGTCTAGGTGGCCTTCTCATTCTCAAACCTTCATGGCTTGGCGTTGCCACTGGATACACCAAGCACTTCGTGGTTCTTTGTCTTTTTTATACCTCGTCCTGCAGGGGCTCCTCTTCAGAGGACCAGCCTTGAGGATAACTGTGCTCAAAGAAACCACGAGTTCGAGTGTTCCCTGGAGCATTAGTTTCCAGCATATCAACGGGCTTCAAGACAGTCCCACATACTTAGGCTTTGCTGTAGAAAATGTTTATGCCTTTAGACCCTAAACAGCTGTATTTGCCATTTTGCAGCTCTTTCCTGAGAAAACAGGTTCTTCTGGGCTTTAGAAGCTTTCCCGTTGTTTGTTGGTCTCTGTTTGGGTGGGAGTGGGATCAGCAGGTGCCCTCAGCTAAATGTTTATGTCACTCTGGGTTAAACAGAAGCATCAAGCTTAGGTGATATAATCTTCAAACAGGGCCATGGGGGAAATTTGGAGCAGGAACAAATCTAGATAAAGGAAAGAAAATTCCATTAAAACTGTTCACAGCCAAAGAATCCCTGACCACCCTCTGCTACCCACCTTTACAGGCAGGATGGCCATCCTTCTCTAGTCAAGACCAAGTCCTACTTTCAGGATTTGTTCTATCTTCCAAATAGTCAGTATGTGTCCTCTTTTAGATATTGGACTTGGTAAAGGGCCTCTTCCTTTGAAGACCACCATTAGCTGCATCCTCAGCCTCCTCCAGGGTGGTTACTCCACCCCACATTCCCAGCCCTCCCCAGGATGTGGCCCTCCTCTGAGAGAATCTTGAGTTTACTTCCTCAGTGTCCACGATGTGGCATCCAGAGTTGGACAAAAAGCACACGGGCCAGCCCTGGTGAAATGGGAACACGCGTTGACAAATGCTCAGTGGATGGTTATGGACTGCTGGGTCATAGTACTTCCCTGGCCCTGTCTTCCTAACCTCTCTTAGTTTTCCCAGTGAAACACTTGCCAAGCATTTACCAAGCACCTACTGTGTGCCAAGGGGCAGAACCAAAGCATGTGTATTCAAGGAATTCACATCCAAGGGGCAGAACCTCCAAGTATTTCCTCGATCCCAGAATCTTGTAGAAGGTTCTGGCTTAACAGATGAGTAACAAAGTGTGACATGAACGTGGAAGATGGGCAGATAATTCCCCATGGCTTGGGCAGTGGGAGGACCAGGAAGGTCTGACAGAGTGGTGGGCTGGCCTGATCCATGAAGGCCAGGCAGGGCTTCCTCAGGCAGGAAAAGGCGTCCTGGCTAGAAGGGACAGCACGTATAAAGCACGCTGGTGGGAGGTACACGGCCTGCCTGGTGTCACATGGTTGATGATTCTAAGGGGCTCTCAGGGAGAGTCATAGGACACAAAGTGAAGAAAGCAGTATGAGGCCAGAGTGAGGGTCTAGTCTCATCCCTGAGCAATGGGGAACCATTGGTCGGTTTTAAGTAAGAGTGGAGCGTGGAACGATCCTCTTGGCTGTTGTGTTGAGGTTTTCCTGGATGGCAGGGGTAGGAGGGAGAAAAGGAGAAATAAGAAAGAAGCTGCCTTTCATCAAATTAGTCCACAGCACCTTGCAGGTGGCCCTTGGAGTACATGTTTATCCTATGTAGAAGCCCCTGTCCCTTCCACAAACCATCTTGTGAAGCCCCTTCAGTGACTGCCGGATCCCAGACGGCTTTGGGTGTGCTGACTCCACACATAGAACCCTCACCCAGTCTTTCCTGAACCCTCCATACCATAGGCAAGTTAACTTGTGTGTGCTGCACAGGTCTCCCTTCTGGAAGAAGTTGCTGATTCTCTGCAAGGAGTGTAGGTAGCGGAGAGTCTCCAGCTGTTAGCACCTTCAGGGTCTGCCTGAGCTTTTGAACTGAGACCAAGCTCTTGCCAGGCAGCCCCTGCAAATGACTGAGCATGATGGTTTCTCTAGGGCTTGGCCATTTCTGTACAGCTCCAGATACCTCTAATAAAAATCTTTGTTTTGGAACTCCCTGTTGAGTTGGCTGGGACTTGGTCAGTCTTGCACCATTGTCTGAGCTTCTGTCTGCCTCCTCCTGCTTCCCCCCTCCCTTTTGCCTTCCACAGGTATTGCCTCCAGCACACTGTTTGCATTCCTACTGTGTCTCAGCATCTGTTTTCCTGGGAATACAACTGGCCCATCTGAACATATGATCTGTGCTGCTGTTGGTGCAGGAGGACAGGAGGGAAATAGACTGGAAGCCATGGATGTGGAGAGTCTGGCTTCGAGATGGAGCTTGTTTACCTGCAGGTGGGGCTCCACTCCTGCACCCTGTTGAGTCCCCCGCCTGGCTGTGGTACGAAGAGCTACCCTGCATACCCTCACCCAGTAGTGGAGTAGGCCGAGGCAGCCAGTATGGGGTCCGGCGAGTGACATGCGTCATCGAAGGTGCTTATTATTTTGATGAAACACAACACATTTCTTTCAGCCCGTAAAATCAAAGATGTGCAAAAAGGCTGTTTTCAGGGTGTAAAACGCCCCTTGTTTCCCGTGGTAGTGCATAGCTATTATGCCTCTGGAGCCTTTGTGCATTTTTCAGGTGTGAGTGACACGAGGCTGACTGGGTGGCCTTGGCATCTTGTTTCTTTAGAGAAAAAGGAGGAGACAGGGCTTCTTCCCGATTCCCTATAAAAGCCAGTTTTTCTTTGAAGACCTACCTTTCCCACTAGTACCTAATACCAATTATGTCTTTCCAGAGATGGTGAGCTTCTTCTGGTAGGATATCTTGGAAACCTTGTCTTAATAACCCGATCATCCTGTTGCGATAAGAATATACGAATGGGAGGCCAGTGTGGACAGTAATAGGGCCGAGAGGCTTCATCTCCCCATAGAAAGTATAAGACACAGACAGTATAGCTGAGATGATGAGGACCTGGGCTGTAGCGGGTCATGGGAAAGGAGAGAAGGTGGAGTTGGGAGAGCAGGTGGGAGGTGGGACACATCCAGAAGGGACTGGGTTTCATCACCAGTAACTGCCATGAGCCTAACTTAGTTATCTGGTTGGATAGGGATGCATTTACTGAACTGGGGACCCAGGAGGAGTTGGGAGTAATTTGAGGGAGAGAAGTAACTCCAGTTTAGCATCTTTTGACTCGGAGATGCCTGAGATGTCCCAAAGAGGACATCCCAGTTAACTTTCAGTTTCCTTTAGTTCTGCTTGCAAAATCAGACAGAAGCAACATCCTGTCTGAGGCTGTTCTTCCCCTTTGGTCCCTCTGCTGGGCTTTCTCCAGCCCCTTGCCCTCAGGCAAGAGAGGAGCCAGCAGTGCAGTCTGCCAGGGGCTCCAGGGGCAGGCTCTTAACACAGCAGGGCCCTTCGGCTGTTCCACAGCAGGGCCCTTCAGATGTTCTGTAACTGACAACCCCAGGCCCACTGCCTGCCAGCATCTGTTCACAGAGACACGGCATCACAAACTCTCCGGACTGGAAGGGACGTTGGAGGTCATCCACTCCAGCTTTGGGGATGGCATTTTCAGACTATTCTAATAACTCAAGAGTTACTCCTTCTTTTGTGCGGAAGACTGTTTCTTCTGACTTCCTCTTAATATGCTGTCAGGTCTCCTTCCTAAGGAGAAGCATGCTGGGCCTCGTTTTTGTGGATCTAGCAGCGAGAGACATGACGAAGCCAGATTTGGGAACACAAGTTCTTTTTGTCCTTCACACTACAGCTACGAGAATGGTCTCCATGGTTACAGCAGCTTCTCAGAAATGTCTGGAATTTTCATTTTCTGTATTTCTCTAAATATCTAATTTATGAATAATCTGCTTAGGTGAACCCTGGAAAGTTTCTGCATGTATATGAATATCAAGAAATACATATTTATATACATTCAAAATAAAAGTAGGCTGATAGGCATTTTTGGTAAATTTTTTTCTCCCACTATAAAAATAAATTAGGATTGACTTTAAAATTTTCAAGTTAAACAAGATTCAATGAAAGAAACAGTGCCTTCATGTTCTTCAAAGGCATGTGAGCCATAGAGTGGCTGAAGCTAACCTAATTATGTTTTCTTTAATGTGAAATAGCTATTTACCCGACATTCCATTTGCATCTCACCGTCACATTCAACTGGCTGGGACATTGATTTTTTTCTAAGGCTTCCTTTGAACATGAAAGTGTTTTTCCTGTTTCTCTCCATTCCCCACCTTGTGAGATCCATGATAAGAATGAATCAATAATTACATTGTTGGATAAAAATGAATATAAATTTTATTGAAAAACAACACCAGCAACAACGTGGGGAAAGCATACTTAACAGCCACCGGCCCACACAACTCAATGCACACATTATGAGAAGTAATCACCTCTTTCAATTGCTGACTACTTACTCCAAATGAAAAGAAATTATAGACCTAAGATAAACCGAGGTGGGCTATAGAGGCACACCATCTTTGAAAATTTTGCCAATAGCAAATGATGTAGTGATGCTGTTAACTCTCTGTTTGCTGCAGACAGACCAGGATATCTCAGGAATTAATTGGTTTCGAGAAGAGAAAACCCACTCCTTCTAGTGAACATGGCATCTAAAACCTCAGACCACTGGGAAAACTTTTCTCCTTTTCAAGTCCTTTGAGAAGAGGATTTCACAAACTTTCTTGGCAACTCGTCCCTCCTGCTTAACAACAGGAAATAGTTCTTTATGTCTAGCCGAAATCCTTCATGCTTCAGTTAGTCTATTTATTTCCTTTTAATCTCAGCAGGCAGTGAGGAGGCTGTCCTGGTAGGACAATGTAACATATGGGGAACTCACAATGATCATAATCGGATTGAAAATGGAGTCCAGCTGAGCTGGTGGCACTTCTGAAACAAGCTGGAGAGAAGTGAACTGCAGTCATGGTGGTAGTGCCTCTGCCCACCACTCCTCCACCCTCGGTTCCCTTCTGCCCTGTGGCCTGGGGGCTGCCATCCTGAGAACTGCAAGCAGATACCCTCTGAGTTTGATCGGTTCCAATCCTTCATTGGTATAGTAATGAGTGTAGTCACAGCTGTTCCATCCAGTCCTACGTCCAGTGCTTCTGTTTCAAGAAGTGATTTCCAGGCAAAACCGTCCCATCACATCCCTTGTCTTTTCAACACACCAGGTTGCCCCCCAGGATGCCTTCACAGCTTGTGCGTGACAAAGATGTCCTCCGTGTACCCATGAGGAAGCGCTGAGAAGCCACGAGAAAGCACCTAGTGATTTTAACATAAACATTTCCACAGCATTTTCAAGTTCTGCGTAAAAAGCCGGGTGATAGAGCGGCCTCGCGGCGTATAGAGCCGGCAGCTCCGCACTTCGGACACCTGGGGGCGCCCGTGCCATTCCGCCGGCGACTGGGACTCGTCGCCCGGGAAACAAAGATGGGGATTTGAAGAAAAGCCTTCAAAATGCAACTCCGAATGTCTACCCTGAGCAGCATGCGTGTAAAAATTCATGAAGATTAGATTTCATTTCATGTATTTTTACTTCAGTGGAAAGAAATGCAGGTGATTTTCTGACTGCGCCTACAGCTGTCTTTACAAAGGGGGTCCTTGGTTAAATGAGAGGGAGGGGCTTGCCGATGCCCTGCGGTGCTTTGAGAGGCGGGGCCTCCCTCTCTGGTGCTGGGGACAGCTCCTATTTTGCTGGGTGGCATTCTCTGCATGCTCCAGGATGTATTGATTAATTATATTACATATCGAAAAGGTATGGGGTCTCCAGCAGGACTAGGCGAGGCAGCTAGCGCGGGGTCCAGTGAGTGACATGCGTCATCCAAGGCACTTATTATTTTGATGAAACAAACACATTTCTTTCAGCCCATAAAATCAGAGGTGTGCAAGAAGGCTGTTTTCAGAGTGTAAAACTCCCCTTGTTTCCCTGGGGTGGTGCATAGCTGTTATGCCTCCGGGGCCTTTGTGCATTTTTCAGGTGTAAGTGACACGAGGCTGGCTGGGTGGCCTCGGTGGCAGAGACTGCGGAGGGCGCAGGACCAGCCCAGGGCAGTTCAGTCCCCCAGGGGCGACACCCCTTGTGCTCAATGCCCCCGGTCTGTTGGATGATGGGCACCTTTGTGAGCTGGCTCTGGGCTAGGCCACCCTGCTGGGTGGCAGTGGGGACTTTTAGGGGAGGGATCCCGTGGGATAATGAACAGAAGTGTCCGGAGCCTGGATCTTCAGTCAGGACCTGGGCAAGGGAGGCTGCTGCCACCTGGCAGTTTCCTCACCCTGTGCTCTGGATGGCCAGGCCCCCTTTGTTCACCTCTGTAGCCCAAGCATCTGGCACTTACCAAAGCACCCCATGGACATTTGTTGGATACAGGGATGTGAGGGTGAATGCCACGGAGGAAGCTGTGAGGGTCCCAGCTGGCCCTGGCTGTGGCTGAGCCTGGAGGCCTGAGGAGGGGCAGTGGGGAGAGGTACCAGGCAGTGCTGGCTCTCAGGGGTGGGGGGCACTGGGACAGCCAGGGGCCATGGAGCTGGAGAATCCAGGAGTTCGGCAGGGAGTGTGTCTGTGTGCCAGGATGGTTCTGCAGTAGCCATGTGGGGCCTCTCTCGCCTTTCCCTCTCATGTGCCCTCGCTGAAGCCAGCCTTTCCTCCGTTGCCATGGCAACGGCAGCCTGAGGCGCTGCTGAGGGCCAGCTGGGCAGCCGAGGCCTCTCAGTCTGGCCTGAGCAAGCAAGGGGCCCTGAGCTGTCCCCATGCAAGGTGAGACTGGAGGTGGGTATCTTCTCAGAGAAGGGAGGAAAGGAGATGGGATGGGACGTTTGCTCTGAGACAGGCACAAAAGCTGCTCCCGTGCAGCTGGAAGTCTTCCCAGCCCTGGCTTTGCTGGTAGAGACGCTGGGGGCAGGCAGAGCCCTGTTAAGGTGTGAGTCTCCTCAGCATTGCTGCACTGCACTACTCACCTGATCTGCGGCCAGGTCCTTATTCACGGCTATCTGCAAGGCTCCCCAAGGGCCTGGCCAGCCTCTGGAGGCTCCCTGTGGAGGCGGGGCAGGGGCCTGAGACCCAGGCTTTGCGAGGGCCTGTGATTGAAGGACAACTCAGGCCTTAGACTGAACTAACTACCCTGTGCACTCCTCTCAGAGCAGAGCTGGAGGTCTTACACCCTCAGACACAGGCTGCAGCTCTGCCGACAGTGTCCCTCCCACCTGCACAGCCACAGTGGGCATGGGCTGCTCTTTGCTTTGGAGTCTCCTCACAACTTTCTGGTTGTCACATTCCTGACTATACTTAGGGACGGTGGAGATGATCAGCTTCCAGCCAGTTGTGGGTCAGCTAGATTCCTCACCACACCCTTTTACTAGGGCTCTTGAAGAACAAGAAGTAGCTAACGAAGAAGCAGCAGGATGCGGAAGATGATCAGGTCTGGGAGGAGAAGATAGTCCAAGATTCCCTGGGGGCCCGGAGCTGTCGAGAGGCATGATGATGTTGCTTGAAAGGGGCTCTGTGATTCAAGGACAACTCAGCCTTGCAAATCATGTCCCCTTGGGCACAGAAGAGAATTCTCTTAAGCATCATGTGAAAAGCTGTCAACCTGGGCAATATCCCTGCTTTCCCACATCAGCCCTACAACAACAACAACAACAGCAGCACTAACACGAGAAGGGGCATCTGGATGCAGGTGTACAGTTTACAATACCTTAGATTTACATAGCACCTTTTTCTTCTAAAGAGCCACTGCTTCTGTCCCCTCAGTCACAGCCACACCTGAGTGAAGCCTTCGGAACACAAAGATCACAGCTCCTGTTTCAGAGGAGGGACACTGAGGCAGAGGCCTAGAAGGGATTTCATGCAGACTCAGTGGCGTCCAGGGCTCCCTGCACTTCCCTTGAGCCCTCCCTGGGGAGGTCTGGCTTGGCCCTTTGGGAGGGTAAGACCGGGTCACAGGCCTCACTGGGCATTCACTTTGTATTTCAGGATGTAGGAGTAGAAGTTGTGGTTGGCATTCTCCAGCACCATGACATAGACTTCCTGGCAGCCAGCTGTGCTGCAGCTGCCCTCCCAGTAGCCCTCGTGGTTCAGGGTCAGGGGCCATGTGTCCTGCCCCTTTACCAAGACTTTGGCAATACCGTGCAGCTTCAATTTGAATGGGATGTTCCGGTTGGCAGGAAGCACACCCGACAGAGGCTCCAGCAGCTCATTGTCCTGCCCCCAGTTGCCAAAGCTCTCAGGGAACATGGGCCAGTTCACCTTGGTGTTGGCACAGCATAGGAGGTAATTAAAGACGAAGATGTAGTTTCCTGGTTCCTGCCTCTTCTTGACAAAGATCTTGAGGGCAAACTTGCCGGCATGGGGCAGCTGGACTTTCAGCTCGGTCCGCTTCTCCCAGTGCAGCTGGAAGATGTAGCGCCGCTGTGTCTCCTCAGTGATGGGGCCATCATCCCCATGGAGGGAAGCCAGGACGTTAATGCCCTCCTCTACGCTGAAGCTGATGGAGCAGCGCCCATCGCTGGTGTGGATGATAGGGTCAGGGTGGGAGGGCTTCATGATGCCCATCTGCTCCGAGAACCAGCTGGGGCCCACGGGCTGGTGAAGCTCAGCAGGCAGCCGGACACCCATGTCCACATAATTGCACTTGAGCGTGTACTCCAGCACTGAGCTGTAAATGTCGGAGTTGCCCTTGGCAAAGATCTGCAGCTTGTGAGTGCCCATGGTTGGAGGGTACACCTCCAACTTCATCCCATTCTTCCTGAGGCTTAGCAGCCCATGCTCTTGCTTGCCGTTGAGCATGAACATGAACAGTGTTGGGGCGCAGCTCTCAATGGTGACCGTGGCCTTCCCGTTCACTGTGGAGAGAAAGTCGGGGTCAACAGAGATGGGTCCAGCATGTGCTGATGTGCTGGTAAATGTTTAACAACTGTCTCCCTGGGAGAAAAACGTCTTGACTTACAGTGCTTGCCTATTTCCATGGTGTCAATACTTTCACCACAGTCCATTTCAAGCACCCAATATGACTTCACTGAGCGTGGCAGCAGCCAGTGGCAGCGCACCGCTGGAAGGGTTCCCTACTCCCTTCAGGTAGTTTTCTTTGAGATAAATGAAAGCTAAGGGGCCTCTAGAAAAATTTGTCCCCAGCGGTATGTGTGCATCCTGCCCATTTGATTCACATTAGATGAAGGTTGCCTATGTCCAGAGAGGATCATGGGGCAGGAGGGGCACCTTCTCCCCCAAGTCTCAGGTCTAGCTTTCACCTTGCTCCCTCCAGCAGCTATCTAAGTGTCAATGCTGTCATGTCAACACATTGTCCTTAAAACTAGTGAGAATGGGTTCACTCCTTGACACTGTGCACAGGAGGTTGGGGTGGGGCAGTTCCCTGATCCCCACCTCCCCCACCCCATGCTTCTCACATAGGTGTATCTTAGCCATGTTTCAGGAATGGGTCCTGAAAAGTCAGTGTGTGCACAGGAGGGTCTTTTGCAACCCCCACACTGCCACACACCACCACCCCCGCCACCGTCTCTCCCTTTACTCTGCAGTTTCATCTTCATCTGTCCTGGTCATTGATTTTCAGGGAGAATTGGTCAGTTCTCTAGTCTTTGTAGCCCATGAGGACCCACCTGCCTGGTCCTTCCTGGCTCCCAGGGCCACAGGGAGGGGCAGTGGCTTCTTAGAGCCTGGCCTTACTTCTCTCAGAAACTGGTCATCCGCTCCCAGCCCCAGCAACCTCCCCAGCCCTGTTCACAGTTGAGCGCAAAGGAAGGAGAGAGGCTGTCTGATCCACGTCACCAGGAACGTTCCCCTAGCTTGGGCTCTTGGTGGGGGAGGCAGGACACTGTGCCTGGGCTCTAGGATAACGGCCTGAATACACTTCCCATTGAATGTGCATTCCATGCCAACTCCCACCTCAGGAATGGGAGAAGCCCACACCGGCCAGCATGATGGGGAGGCTGCTTAGACAGCTCCTCTACCTTCTTCACGGCTGTTCTACCTCGAAAGCTGTCCCAGCCTTCTCAGATGCTGCCCACCCTGCACCTGCCCTGCACTCCCACATGTCCCCCCCACTGCCTCCGTTTCCTCTCTGCCCCTCAGCTTTCTGGCACCCCAGTGACTTCCCTCTGCCCCCACCCTCCAGTGACTTCCTAATAATGAGGCCCCTCAGACCTTGGAGGACCTAGGCTGCTGGCCTCCACGCCTTCCTCCGAGTCCTCTCCTCCCTTTGCAACCCCTACTCTTTGAGGCCTGGCCCTCATCCCACTCTCTGAGCACTGCTTAACCCCAATGCCATTGCTTCCCCTTCTGTTACACTGAAATCGTGTGACTCTTGGTGCTTGAGTGCTATTTTATTTACCTACTTGCTTTCTCTACTGCCTTCAGCCACTGCATGCCACATCTGTCCCACGGTAACCTCCAAAGGAAAGTGACCAAGATCAACAGACTTGTTATCTCCTCTTGGTGAAAACCCCCCTCTCCCCTCACTTCTGAACTAGCTCAGTGGGCAGAAGCTACCTCAGCTCCTCACTGCGCATGGCCCCTGTCCTGTTCCATCTCACAACTGGCTGTGAGTCCTGCACAGTGAGGCCCAGATCCCCCTGCGATTCACTTTTGATTGTGGAGCACCACCCAGCACCCCACAGAGCAGCCCCAGGGCTCCTTTGAAAATGTTTGCCTGGCTACTTCCGGGCTCATGGCAGAGCCCTGAAGCTGGAGACCCATGCGGAGACCTGTCTCTTCCTGCCTCGCCAGTATCAAGCACTCTCGTAGATCCTCCAAGGCCACACCCTTCATGCCTCAGGGTCCTCCCACCCACTCCTCCCTCCCCACCACTTCCCCCAAACCTGGATAAGGCCTCATGGTAATGTCCCGATGGCAAAGCAGCCCACCCGGACCCTTCAGCTGAGGCTGAGTTCCCTGGCAAGCTCTCTCCTAGCCCTGGCTCTCCTTCAGAGAACGTTCCACTGCTGTAATTCATCACGTGAGCACTTCTGTGTAGTGTCTGAACTCCTTGCCAGGCTGTGGGCTCGGTGGGGAAGGGGCCAGCCTGCTTCATTTCCTGCCATGTCTTAGTGCCTGGTTGCGGTGTCTCACCCAGAGGGTTCTTGCCAAAGGTGTGTTGAATGACTGGGAAGACTTGAAATAAAGGACTGGTCACCCCTGCAGACCTCTGTGGGAGCCCACGGGCTCTTCCAGTCCCCCCGCCTCCTCCACGTCTCCTTTCCCCTCCGCGGCGCTCTCCTGGAGCCCGGCAGCTTTCCACCCCCTTATCTAGGTGCCCTCTTCCTTCCCTTCCTTTCTGCTCACCTCAGTTTCCCTATTTTGCTTCCTTCCCCTCCCCACTCTTAACTAGCTACCACAAAGAAATACTCTGTAAATATGTATCAGATATATGGAATCATATTTAGGTTTAGATTTCTATAAATTAAGGAATCTGGTGTTTATATTTTTATGTCTCTTAAAAAGGCAAACTCCACTCAATGGCATCAGTTTGGTATTGCTTTGACCTGGTCAGTTCTTTCTGATGGTTCAATGGCCTATGATACATTGAACGAGCCCTCCATCTATTGTAAGTGCAGGAAATGGATTCCCAAAGTGAGCAACTTCAGGCTGTTATTTTAGCCGCAGGAGCTGCCAGGTATTCGGAGATGGAAGAGTATGCAAGAGTTCAGCAACCTGGCAAAGGAAGCTATTGTGTGGTGGAAGGGACAAGTCAGTTGGAACTAACTTGGGGGCACCTGTGCTTCCGGCTGCCCCATTGCCCTGCAGTGTGGGTGGGAGCTCCCCAGGGGCTCTGGGCCACCCACAGGCACTTTGTGCTAATAGTCAGTGTGATCTCAGACCTCCTGTCCTGGGTGGATGGCGTCCCCAGTGGCAGAGCCAGTGCCGCCAGGCAGTCCTTTGCTGAGGTGTGGGAGGCTGGGCTGACCTGACTTACAGGGCTCTGCAGTGTGCCCAGGCTGTGTGCCCAGCACTGGATCAGGTGCCAAGGCCTTGGAGAGGCATAAGAGACAATCTTCCACAGAAGGCCCTGCATTTTTGTGACCAGTTCTGGCCCCCCCAAGGTAGCCCCCATATGCCTCAGAGTATGCAAACATACTCAGCTGCTATGGCTCCATGGTGAGGGTTGGGGGAGCAAATGTCAGCCTAGGCCAGCCATGGGAGATGGCTAAGCTGGGTATCCTATACTGCCCCAGGAGAGTGGGCTGGAAACCACTGGGTCCCGCCTCCAGAAGGGAGGGGTACTGAGCCAGCCAGGCAGAGGTCTGGAGCCTGGCCCTCATCTAGGGGTGCCTGAGTTTGGAGGCTGGGGGCTTACTGTGTCCCCTCTTCTCCTCTGCTGCCTAAAACATGTCCATCTCTGTCTAGCTACTATGCCTGTTCTCTTCTCCCAAGACCCAGCTCAGAGGCCACCTCCCTAAGGAAGTCTGCCCCAAGTCTCTGTCTTGGGTGGGACTGCCCCTACCTGTCCTGGGAGACCCCTGCTGCTCCCCACCCTTGCTGGTTGGACCACCAACACCCAGATTGCAGCTCTGCCGAGGCCATGTATCCTCTCCAGCAGGAGTTGGGGAAGAGAACACAGCAGGCCAGTAGCTTCTGTTGGGCACCTGAGCCCAGAGGCTATGTGTAGCGGGGGTGATGCAGTCCTTTTCCCTGCTCTGTGAGCTGAGAGAGACTCACCCAGCTAGGAACCACCCAGCCCTGGCTTCTGTGACAGGCCAGGCTGTGTGTCCAGCCCTCAAGTTCTAGGAAACCTTCAGCCTTCAGACACATCCCTTTCTGGGTTTATGCTAGTGTGAGTGAGCTTCTGTCCCTGCTGATGTGGCCTATGGCCCTTCCCTGCCCTGATGGCCTGGGCTGCCTCAGCAGCCCCCACACATCGACATGCACACACAAGCTTTGTGCTAAGCTCACAGGCCATGCTCCTGGAAGGGCATGCCCTGAAAGCACAGTGTCAGGCGGGCTCCTGGAGGACAGTGCGAAACGCTCCATCCCTGCTGCTAGCACACAGGCACCTGCTCCGGGCTCACCTGTTCTGATCATGGAAGTCTCCGGGTGGGCACTCAGCATCCCTTTGTTGTAGAATTCACTCTTGTGATACATGTTGTTCTCAAACTGCCTCAGAGATTGAGGAGGTTTTAGCAGCTGCCAGTTCTTGTTGTCTGGGAAGTGGTCCTCGATGAACAGTGCAGGATGGGTGAGGAAGTAGAACTCATTGTAGCTGGAGCAGAGACAAACTGGTTAGCAGCCAGCTCTGTGTAGAGGAGGCAGGGGCCCAACACACCCACCGGAGCAGTCCTGTGGACATCCTGGATGGGAAGAGGTGCCATCTCCAACTCTAACATGGGCACTGGAGACTCCTCCTCAGTGGATGCTTCCAGAAATTGTAGCCAGGGTCTGAGGTCGCTTCTAAGGGAAGCCACAGTGCCCTCAGTGCCCTAGGGTGTCGTGGGGAAAATGGACTCCCTCATGCTCAAAGACAATCCGAAGTTCAAAGGGGGCAAAGGCATAGCCTGTGGAACACGCAGTGGGGTTGTGGGAAGACAGGGAGACAGAGCGCTTGAATTCACTGCCTCCATCTACCACAGCCTGTTTCTGTGCTGTGCAGCTGTGCTGGTGGGGACCTTTTGTGGCTCTCCAGGACCGACTGGAGTGCTGACTCTCTGGGTGTCAGTAATGGGGATCAAGAGAAGAACAGGGAGGCACCTCCTGAGACGGGGGAGGCTTTGCTCTGCCTAAGAGGAGCAGTGTTGAGAATAACAGTGGTAAAGAGGGCATCTGTGAGTGCGTGAGCCCTGCGTGTAGGATGTGTGTGCACATGGCTTGTATTTGTCCCATGTGTGGGAGTGTCAAGATTTAAGCTGCAAAAATCAGACAGAGCACACTCATGTTTCTGAATAAAAAGGGATCTGAGCTGCTGATAGCATCATGATCCATGAAGAATATTGTATGTAGCCTCAGGTTAAGGCCAGGGTTGGCCAGAGCCCCAGAGGATAGAAATGCTCCAGTCCCCTGCACCCCAGCCGCCCTGCCCCACTGTGCCTCACAGTGACCCTGCACCGCCAATAGCACCCCTTCCCCCAAAACCACAGCCCTTTCCTCAGAAATGTGATATGGTCTCACGCAGACCAGAGAGGAGAAGGAGCCTGGTGTCTGGGCAAAGTAGTAAGAGAACATTCTGGCATTTGTGCCTGGTAATGCGGTCAATGGCCAAAGTCTGGAAGGGAACCTGCCAACAGCTAAAGAAGGCTATTAGCCCTGCCTTTCCTCACATGTGACCTGGGGGCAAACGCTCCAGGCTTTCAGTGCTTTGGTGGAGGGAGTTATAGGGAGTCAGAGGGGGGTGTTTGTCAGTGGAGGGTGAGGTGACAAAAGGGTGTGGGTCCTCACAATTGGCCCGGAGCCAGCCCACTTCAGAGCCGGGGAGGGGTGGGCGTGGGGCCTCCTGGCTCTCCTTCCTCTCCCGCTTGGCTTTCTCCACCTACTGCTTCATGCAACCCGGTGCCTTCTCCATTTCCACCTGCTAGACGCCCAGCAGAACTGAGACAAGTACTTACAGGAAGGTGAATTTGGAGGTGGTGGTGTCCACCAGGCCGCTGCCCCAGGTGCTGTCCACCAGGTGCCATCTTCCCTCCAGGTACACAGCATTCCAGGCATGGTCAAACTCCCCCGAGAAACTCTGCCCTGTCTGGTAGCCGAAGCCCTTGGAGTAGCCAGGCACGGTCATACACTGCACTCCGGCGATCCTGGGGGCAGGACAGGGGGTCTGAGAGGGGGATCCTGCCGCGACTTGCCTCCAAGTCTGTCCATGGTCTCAGGTTTCAGGCATGTTTGCTGCCCATCAGTCCTCCCTGCCTATCCTTTTTCTTGCTTCTTGTACTCACATATAAACAGCCTTGAGGACTTTTATCTCTGGGCATGGGGGACAGGGAGATACAATGCTGGCTGGTCCTGTCGGTACAGACTGGCTGCAGTCTCCGCTGTCTGCTCCTCCCCTGAGACCAACACCATTCAGATCAATTCTGAAATGTTCATCCCTAGAGCCTGCTCGACACGCTCCTCAAGCAGCTCTTCAGCAGGAAAAAATGGGGGCAAGCGTGAGGTTGGCTTCAAGAAAATAGGAGCCGGGGAAATGACAATGTTCCTGCAACAAAACCTACACGCAAGGGCTGAGCACAGCTGCTGGGAGAACCAGGGCACTCTGGACATGTGACTGACGTGATGGGTCTCGTGACACACGTGAGATGTTGGGGGGTTGCTGGTTGTGAGGGTACAGAAGACAAGCCCTACTCCGCTGCTATTCCTCCCAAGGAAGCCTGCACGGGAACCCAGGGGCAGGCGGTGGGTGTCTCCAGTCCTGGCCCAGGGAGGACTGGCCAGCTGCCAGCTTGCTCAGGTCTTACTGGTGGGCCTGTCCTTTGTGAATGGTGCAAGAGCCATCATGGTGCATTCAGGTCATTTGCTGACTGCCTGCCCTGGCCACAATTCTGGAGTCTTCTGTGGCCGTCCTGAGGGGAACGGAAACGCTGACCAGTCAACCTGAGCTTTGGGGTCCTTTTGACATTGTGCTCCCCACTGCTCACGGCAGAGATGGCACCGCTTTCTGGGAACCTGGATGGGAAGATGGGCATGGGTCATCTCTGGGGACGACATAAAACTAGACATTTGGAGCTGAAACCCTGAGGCCCAGGCCTGGACTGTGGGCACCAGCCCAAGGCCAAAGCAAGACCCCAGGTATCTTTTCATGGCCAGTTGGTCTTGCTCCTCAGCAGCCCTGCTCCCCCGAGGACAGCCAAGGGGGGATACTGTGCAGACAATTTCACTGGTAGTCTGACTTAGGGACATCCTATGCTAGCCCTTCTCCGGCCTTTGTGTAAATTAGAAAAGGTGCCCCTTCCTCAAGGCATTTTCCTTGCACTCATGGAAAATTGGTGTAATAGATACACAACCTGCGAAACCGAGGATGTGCTTGATGCCCCTTTGATGGGGCTCCTTTGAGCACCACGCAGGCTGCTCAGTCCCAACTCAGTGCTGACCCTGTGCTCTACTCTGCTGAGCTGAGTCTGCGGACCAGGGTGTTGGTGGGACCTGTTTCAGTGAGATGGGCCCATGGGGGTGGGGCCCTTCCACAAACCAGGGCTCCAGCCTCAGTTGCTGTAAGCAAGAGGGCCATGGAGCCTTCCAGGGTAATGGGGTGAAATGGCCATGCATCTACTATAGGAATGGGGGGAATCTTCCCAGTAAAAATGAACATGTAATTTAAAATTAGCAAAAATATTGGATTAAATATTACTAATATATATCACTTGCTGAGAGAGTAATTGGGATCAAATGTGATGTCCTGAGGGTTAAGAGATTCTACTTTCCCTGCCCTCATTGTTTCTTCACATGCATGCAATGAGGACCTGTTACAATGTCTGCCTTAACCTCTGCTCACCTGCGGAAAGTCCGGGTCACTAGTGCTGAGGTTCCTTAGGGGCTTGGAAGTTTTCCGGACCCCGCCCTTTTGCCTGCTGTTTCACAAGAGGAGGTTCAGGCCTCCTAAGCCCTCTAAGGAATCCCATGAGAACATACCAGCTGGGCTCTGTGAGAAGGCTTCTTGGAGCACTTGGGGGCATGGGGACAGACTGCAAGAGAAACTAGATCCTGGTGTCATGATTTTCTGCTGGCAAAGGCCATAAGCCATTCCAGGGCAGAAAGAGGCAGTAGCTGAGGAGACCATGGAAGAAAGGGGAGCAGGTGCAGCCTGCATACCTGGAGTGCCCTCTCCTCATTTCTCTGCAGTGCAGAGAGTGTAGGGTGGTGGGAAGTGCTGGGGGATGCAGGGCTGAGGGGGTTGTTCTCAGGATGAGGAAATCTGGATGTGTTTATAGTCTGAGAGGAAACAGCTAGCAGAGAGGGACCAGTGGAAAGCAAGGCCAGAGGAGTGGGTGGAGGTGTAGGGGTGGGATAAACATTCGATAGGAGGTGGGGTCCCATCTAGTCAGAGACTGGGTGAGGAGAAGAAATGTTGTGAAAAATACTTAGTGAGCTAAACAGTGCCCCTGACACAACGTGAACTGACAATAGCATGTCAGTCTCTCCAGTCAGTACGATGTCATGCCGATGCTGTGTGTGTGTATGTGTGTGTGTGTGTGTGTGTGTGTGTGTGTGTGCTGCCTGCATGCACAGAGAAGGAGGGGCAGGGAGCGAGAGGGGAAGAGATGGCACAAAAGGCACCTGGTCTCTTGGCAATGGGATTATAGGTGATTTTAATTTTTTCTTGAAACTTCTCTATATTTTCTAAATTTGTAATAATGATTATGTGTTACTTTGAGAATTGGAAAAAAACCCATAAATACTACTTAAAATTATATTCTTCAGGAAATTACTTTCCATTGCTGCCTAGAACGTCTGTGCATATCACTTTCTAGGATGACGTGGAGGGATAAGGGGAGTCCTGGGAACAATGGGGCTTGGAGAATGGCTCATTTTGCATTGAGGTGAACTGATTTAGTGGAGCTGTGGGCCTCTGGACACGCTGCCCACTGATGCTTGTCCTCTGCTCAGAGCCACCTGGAGTCAAGGAAGGAAGGAGAGGAATTTAGCATTCGTGCAGCCTCCAGGTGGTGGGGTAAATCAGAGTGGGTATGGAATGTCCTCCTGGGAGAAGCCATGTGTCCAGGGGGACATCCTGCCCTTAGGGGGCTGAAGTGGAGGCAATATTGGAAGAACGAAGTCAGGGAGCAGCAGTGAGAGTGTTCCCCAGTCCTGGAAAGGAAAGGAGGAGGAAGAAGCGAGGGGCAGGGATGTCCACCTGTACGGCTCTGAGTGGGGGTGGTGGCTCCAGAGCCAGGAAATAAGGTCACCTCTCAGGTCTAATGGTCACCTCATGGGTGACCTTGCCAGGCTCATCATGGGCAGTGAGAAAGGTTGGCATTAAATGATCTCCAGGGGTTGATTCTTCTCTGGCAGGCTGAGGAGAAGCTGGGAAGGCTGTGGGAAATGCCTGGGGCAGAAAAACATGAAAATATAAACTCAGCTATAAGCTTATGCCATGCTTGACTCTGATATGAGGATCTTTTATTACCTGGCAGCAGTGTGTCAGATGAACTGGACAAAGAAGGTCATAATGTAAAGCATTATTGTAAATATGCCATAATTCTCGTGCAAAATAATCTGTATGTATAAGACAATGATTGTGGAACTCACAGGAGTTTCGTCTCCAGCCACTCTCGCTAGCCAGGATGAACCACAACTCTTTCATGTCATGAAAAGATCACTGGCCGCACACGCTGTGTATAAAGCACTGTAGCAGGGAATACTATAACATGACGTGGCACCATACAATGCAACACAATGTAACAACATAATAAAATATGATATCCCAAAAATAAGGCTCAGTGGCTGCCCTAGATGTGCTGACAGTTGGAAGGAGGGTGGATATGGAAACTGTCACTGGAACTGTCTCCAGAACTTTGCTTATAAAATGCCAGTCTATAAGCAAAGTCCCGGAGAGCCCAAAGGTGGAGAAATTAACTTTGCAGGCAGGAGCTCAGAGAGCATTGAAGGAGGGGCAGAGCACAGAAACATTTCCACCTCCTGAAGAGCTCCGACCAGCCACCCCAGAGCCTAAAATATCACCCAAGGAGATTTATTTAATGACCTCAGACTGCAGAATCTTCGCTTCTACTTTACAGAACTGACAACCTCAATTCCACCTCCATAGTTCATGGCTGATAGGTATCCCAAGCCACAATGAAAACATGGATGTAAGATGCCCTGAACAAGCTTCCAAGGAGCACCCTGGAGGATTTGGAGAAAGCTGCAGCCCCCTCTCCAGCAAACGTCAGGGCTCAGGGACTCAATCAGAGAAGCCCTGAGGGCTGCAAAGAACCACATGGCCACCAAATGTGACCTGATGGGAAGAGACTGAACAGAGGGGCAGCCAATGTCATTACCTGGGTACCCTTGATGAACCCTGAAGCTGCTGAGTCTTCTATGAATGCATGATCCTTATTATTTAAAAAGATCTGCGTGTTCCAGTTTGGTGCAGTGTATCCTAGTGTATTAATTTGGTATTATTTTATACTGAGATGGTCCAGGCCCTGCTGTAGGAACTGTGTGATGCTGCTACAGTCAGCACCAATGCCAGGCCCCAGCAGCAGCGTGGCTGAAATATCTGGGTGGGCAGGTGCACCCTCCACCAATGGGCTTTGACCACGGTAGACTCTCCCAAATCTGATCACCTCTCCCAGAATGTCTGAGCCAAGTGGGGGAAAAAGGGAGGGAGGGTGCCTGTAGGAGATACAATGAAGTATGCTTTTCTTTTGCTATTTTGTTGAAAATACTGTGGTTTCTATAGTGCAGCAGGACAAACAAACCATGACTTATCTTTCACAATTTATGTACTTGATTTCTTATAATCTGACAGTGTGTTTATATTTCTCCCATGTGCTCTCTTTTCCCTTTTCTTACACATTACCCCTACAGCTAGGTCAATAACAAGTAATCCTGCTAATAATTCTCTCTCCAGGGCCCTGTGCAGAACCTCATGGGACGTGACTTCAGAGGCCTCCTCTCTGACAGGTGAGGGAGGAGTCAGCTATTCAGAGAGAGAGGCTGCCTTGCCTGGGGACACACAGCTAGCCAGTGGCCGAAGCAGCAGTGGATGCAGTTGTCCTGATGCACCTTTGTGTTGCACCAGCTCTTTTGTAAATCAAGATTTTGTTTTGGTCTATACACTTATAGGTGGTACAGAGAGTGAAATGAAAAGATGGTTTGCACTAGTGACATAGCTTATCTTTGTGAGTGCCATCCTTTGGTGTAGCTATAAGTGTGGGGGGCTAAGATGTCCCTTTCAGAGGCCTTATACACCAGCATCAGATTTGGTGATAATTTAAGATTATCCAATGAATCTGCATCTCCCAGAAGAAGGCTTAGATGGCCACTCCCTATCTTCTGGGGCCTTTGGAACCAAGTGATGTTTTAGGATTATAGGGGACATACTGCTAACCAGAAGCAGCCATCTGACTGTACACACTCCTGCCCCTGCTCTTGGTGACAGCTAGAGGATGGGTGGAAAGCTAGCTGACATCTGATTGGTGACAACCAGCTCCCTTAGTGTCAGGGCTCAAACTGGTAATAAGCGCCTGGCTTTATCCAAAGTCTCTGAAAAACCTGCTAGCTGGTGATGTGAAAGCCATGCTAACGGGAAGAGAATTTACTGGAGGCTGACTCAGGGGCAGCAGTCTGGGGAATTAAGCTTGGCTCCTGCGAGGAAATTAGGCAGAATCAATTAAGGATGCGGGCAATTGAGGCAAAGAGACATTAATATTGGGTGATAGAAAGTCAGAAGGAAACTGGACCAGCAGTTACAAGCTATAGCACTAACCAAAAAAACCCCACATCAGTGACTTGGGAAAGACAGAAGGAAATGAATGAAGTTGTGAAAATATCTGAATTTCCCACCAAATTACTTCATTAAATCAGTCTTTAATGAGGCAATTTCAGGGAGGTAGAATGGACTGGCAAAAAGTAATGATGTCCGTGTGGGTACAACTCTTTCTAAGAAGCCACCCTGACAACCAAGCAGGGATAAATCGGCAAGTGTGGATTACATGTCCTCGGTTATTAAGGAATTAGCTAATTAATTTACCAAACTTTTGGCAGTTATTTTAAAGGTAAAGAGAGTTAGTAGAGGGATGCATAGATAGGTTACTGATCTTTAAAGAAAAAGTTAAAGGAATTCAGGGGACTGTGAACTATTGTTACGTATCTCAGGCGATGTGAGGAATTTTGCACATGGTAATCACCATGTTGGAACTAACTTTAAATGATGCAAAATGTTAGCGAGAGTTTCAATGATAAGCTGCAGGCCAGAATAGGGCCGTTGTTAAGTATCTGGACCTGGGCAAAAGCTGACAGTTTCACTCAAGGCAAGTGTCAATTTTCGGAATCTATGCAGGCTGGCGGAGTCTGTAGGAAAGTTCCACAGAGCAAAAGAACTCCAATCAATAGTCAAGAAAGACAAGACAGGTTAAAAAACACCCACCCCAAAGTTGGGTTGGTAAACCCCAAAACTGCAGTCTCATTGAGTCCTATAGCCCTGCCAGGTATAGATGAGAGCACTGAGGCTGCAAAAGGTTAAGTGCCTTACCAAAAGGAACAAAACAAATAGGTGGTAAATTAAACACTGGGAGCCAGGTCTTTCTGGCTTTAACTTTGGCACTCCTTCTAAAGGATGCTAGGATGCTTATACTGGATCAAGGAGGCGATACCACTCTACGTGGTAGACCCAGGTCTTTCTAGCTTCGAATCTGGCATTCCTTCTACAGTATGCTAGAAAGCTTATACTGGATAAAGGGGGATATATCCTGGAACTTGGAAAAAATGCTAAGCATTTTCAAATTTGCAAAATCAGATGAAAATAATCATGTTCTGAAAGATGCTAGGCACAAATGGAGCTAAGACTTGTGGCTATTTCATCAGTTAAAAGAGAATAAGCCCCATTCCCCGTAAGTCTGCTAGGAATATCCTGTCATTTCCTGTCATTTCTACATGACAGGGAAGGTTGTGGGCTGTCCTGGAGTGGGGCCTGGAAGGAGCACAGGGGAGAGGGAGCAGGTGTGCATGCAGAGGTGGACGGGAAGGTGGTGTCACACAGTGCAAGACTGGAAACTTGGCTGAGGTCAGATTTTGGAGGACTTTGCCAGACAGTGTGATCCTTTAGCGGTGTTAGGAACCCAGGACCAGGGGAGCCTGGGTAGAGAGGCCAGTGAGGATCCAGGTTCCTGGAGAGGCCCACAGGCAGCAGGGGGTATGCTTGGGTCTGGAGTAGGGGGTGGGAAGCAGCCAGGGTGGCATCTTCTGTACCCTGACCCACCGTGGCTGCCTCTGGGGCTGTGGTCTCAGGAAATGGCCTTGAAAGTGAGAGAAGGGAAAAACAGGGAGCAGAGCAGGAGGTCGTTAGAGCAACTCAGCAGCCGGGTGGGTGCCTGTTCTTGGCAGTGGTGATGGGGGGCAGGAGGCAGCACAACAGGGGGTTTGGGCCAGGAATAGGTTGCATGCACCCAGTGCCCAGCAGCTGCCGCCTCTGCACTACTGAGGCCATCACAACTGCCTGCTGTGGACTAAGTGTTACGCTTGTTTTGATGAATTGCCACCTGCAGTTCTGGTGGACTGACATCTGGGTGCCTGAGAAGACTCACTCCCAGAAGCCTACAGAGACAGTGGGCAGCCGTTCATCCACCCCCTGGGGAGGGGTTCTTTGATGGCCCCAGGGCTAGCTGACTGTTTTCTGGGGGAACCCAGCAGACCTCAGAGAGTAGGCTCAGGAAGCTGTGGAGGTCAGTGGCCATCCCCTCCCCCCACCCCACATCTTAAGCCTGTTTTGAGTCACTGGGAACCGGCAATGGCCCATTCTCCTGCTCAGGCCAGAGCTGTCTCCCACCCCAGCAACCTGGCCATATGCCCACTCCCAGAGTGCTGAAAATGGAGCCCAGCGACTCCAAGAGAAGCTGCTTCCTAGTGATTCAGCTGTCCAACTGACAAATCTTTTCAGGTGGGAGATCTTTTGTTTCCCCCAAAAGAGGCCCCCTGTGTCAGCCCTGAGGACAGCCTTTCACAGTCCCCTTGGCATCTGCAGCCACTGTCCTCCTGCTCCCAGGCCTGCTATTCTTTTAACCTTCAGCTGCATAGAGATGGGAGAAGGCGGAAAAAAGGCTTTTTATAACCAAATTATCTCTGTGCATTCATCTGCCATTATGTTAATGCATCGCGAAGCCCGGCAGATGGTACAAAGTCAATTATGCTGGTGTTAAAAAGGGAGAAATTGACCTTTTCAGGACTCACTTGGGTTCCAGAGCAGAGTTTGCAAACTCAGGTTTCAGGCCTGGCATGTGGGCAAAGGCACATGGCACTGTGGAAGAGGGAGAGGGATGGATCTGGTGGTCAGCACAGGGACTCCTGTCTCTCGTACCTGCACATTCTCTCAAAGAGGCCAGCGTAGCCGTCACAGTTGGTCTTCTGGGTCCGCAGGATGTCAGTGGGTTTGAAGGCTTGGCGGTCCTTCTCCTGAGCAGCTGCAATGTCGTACTCTAAGGGCAGGTGAGGGGATCATGAGGAACCTGAGCCTGGGAGGCGAGAAGACTCCATCCCCACCCCTAGCTGTGCTCTGGCTGTCACCAGCTCCAGGAAACCACAGTGGGCTGAATGGAACTACAGCCCCAGCCCACATGGGATCTGGGAACTGTCACCTCTTTTTGCAAGTGGTGAGAGGAGGAGCAGGCCTTGGCAGAGGGTGCCACCTGGCTCCCCAAACCCCTGAGGAGGGGCTAGGAGGAGAAGGGAGTAGGACAGTGCAGGGGCATGGGACTCTCTCTGCTAATCCCCACCACACAGCTCTGCACACAGTTCCAGTGAAATCACTGATCCCGTCTTCCTGCAGCCCAGAGGCCTCACGCTGACCCATAGGGCACACAGAGCTCGTCCCCAAGTGGAGAAGGCTGCTCTCCCACAGCCTGTCACTTCACTAAGGAGGGGATGAAGACATTGCAAAGAAGCCTGAGGCCTGCGGTAAGGCCCTAAGGCAGAAGTCTCTGTAGCCACTGAGGACCCAAAGGGACTGTGTATGTGTGTATTGGCATGGGGATAGGAGCGGTAACGAAGTCCTATAAATGTCCTGTTTCTGGCCCTGCCCCTTTAAGGCACAGGCACAGCTGGTGGAGTTGGGATGGGAGCTGGGGGTCTCTCACATCCTCAGTTTGGACCTCCTACCTGTGCCTGGCAAGCTCATTCTCTAAGCTGCATTCCCTACTGTTGTTCCAGAAGAACAAAAGAAAAGCCCAGTGGCAGCAGGCTGAGAAAGACCCAGCTGGTCTTTATATCAAAGGACTAGGAGTCCACCTCGTGATCTGGCCCTGTCTACTCTCATTTGTGTTTGCAAGGGGGCAAGGGGCAGCATCCCTTAGCCACCACCTCTGCAGTTCTGCTTGACCTGGGAGCTTCCCAAGGCCATCCTGTGGAGAGCTGTGGGCAGCTGCATAGGCCTAGGTCCCTCAGGTGGCTCCAAGAACCTTGGAGACTGGGCTGGGACCAGTGGCCAACATTGCTAGTGTAGGAGCAGGAAGTGGAGAACCCGCTTTTCCTGGCTCTGGTATTTAATGAACCCTCTGATATTGCAATCACTTTTCAAACAGCTGCAGCTTCTCCCCACCAATGATCATCCTTCTTTGAGATGACCTGCTGCTCCGGGCTCTCACCTCTGTGGAGATGAGACAGAGGGAAGGCTGGGACAGAGGGAAGGCTGCTGCTGGATGAAGTTTCCAGCTCTGGGCACTGGCTATGGGCAGAAGGCTGCAAGGGATTCTCCTCCAACTAACATTCATGGAGACTAATAGCACATGGTAAATTTTATCCTCCTTGGTAACTCTCTGGTTCATCAGTCCAGTCTCCTGGGTCCCTCTCCCCGCCCACCTTTCATGTCACTCTGCACATGTGAATAACCTGATAGGAGCAGAAGCCTGCGGGGAAAGGAAGCAAGGGATTCTAGAGCCAGCAGTGCCACAGGTGGGCCTACCTATGTGATGGCAGATCCAGATCCAGATGGCACGGACCCTTTCCAGGTCAGTGTGGGCCTCCTGGAGCAGGTCACTCACCAGTTCGTCTAGGCCACTCTTGGCTGTCACCTGGGGAGCAGGAAGGGGATGCTGTATTAGGGCCTCAAGGAGGGGCTGTTGGCAGCCCAGTACCTTGCACCTATAGCCAGTGCTGCTCTTCCCCCAGGCAGAGAAGCTGGAGGAGAGGCCGTGAGGGGCAAAGGCTGGCTGAGGACCAATTGGGAGGAAGTGGGGGAAGTTGGACAGGGCAGGTGGTGCTGACCAGCTCAATCACAGGCCCTAGAGCCACCACAGCTTTTCTCTGCAGATCTGGGGGCTAGCCAGGCAGGCATCTGGACAGCTGTAGCAGCCCCTGGTCATGGTCAATACTAAGGATTTAACATAATCCTTATCAAAATTCCAATACCTTTTGGTGCTGAAATGGAAAAATCAGTTATCAAATTCCTATACATTCCAAGTAGCCAAAACAATTTTGAAAAAAGAACACATTTGAAGGACACAAATTTCCCATTTTCAAAACTTACTGTAGAACTACAGTAATCAAAACAGTTTGATACTGCCATAAAGATTATATAGACAAATGCAATATAACTGAGAGTCCAGAAACGGACCCACATATCTATGGTTAGCAGATCTTTGACAAAGGTGTCAAGTCCATTCAGTGGGGAAAGAAGAGTCTCTTTTACAAATGGTGCTGGGACAATTGGGTTTCCACATGCAAAAGAATAAAATTGTATCTCTACCTCATGCCATATACAAAAATCAACTCAAAATGGATCAGTGACTCAAATATAAGAGCTTAAACTGTAAAACTCTTAGAAGAAAACACTGGGGTTAATCTTCATGACCTTGGATTTGGCAATGAATTCTTAGATATGGCACCAAAGGCACAAGCAACAAAGAAAAAAACAGATAAAAGGCCATTCGTGAAAATAAAAAATGTCTGTACATTAAATGATATCATTTAGAAAGCAAAAAGATAACTTACAAAATGAGAGAAAACCTTGCAAATCATATATCCAATAAGGGCTAAATATTCAGAATATAAAAAGAACTCCTAGAACTCCACAAAAACAAAACCAACCCAATTCAAAAAGGGACAAAGGACTTGAACAGATATTTCTCTAAAGAAGATATACAAATGGCCAATAAGCACATAAAAATTGCTCAACAACCTTAGTCATGAGAGAAATGTAAATCAAAACCACAATGAGATACACTGCGGACCTAATGAAATGACTATTGAAAAATGAAACCAGAAAATAATGTGTTGGCACGAATATGGAGGAATTGGAACCCTCGTACGATGCTGGTGGGAAGGTAAAATGGTGCAGCTGCTGTGGACAACATTTTGATAGTTTCTCTGAAAGTTAAATGTAGAATTATCATATGATCTAGCAATTTCAGTCCAAGGTATACACCCCAAAAAACTGAAGGCAGAGACTCAAACAGACATTGTTTCCCCAGTGTTCATTGCAACAAATCCACAGCGGCCAAAAGGTTAAAAAACATCCATCCATGAATGAAAGGACAAATAAAATAGAGTATATACAGTATGTATACTATATAATGGGAATATTATTCAACTATAAAAAGAAGGAATTAAGTTCTATATATGCTACGACACGGATGAACCTTGAAAACATGATGCTAAGTGACATAAGCCAGACACAAAAGGACAAATATTGTATGATTCCACTCATATGAAATACCTAGAGTAGGAAAGGTCATAGACAGTAAGTAGAGATTACTGGGGGCTGGGGGAGGAGAAATGGGAATTTCATTGCTTAATGGGTACAGAGCTTCTGTTTTGGGTGATGAGTAGACAACATTGTGAATATAATTAATGCTAGTGAATTGTACATTTAAAAGTTATTAAAATGGCACATTTTATGTTATTTTATGATAAAAAAGAACAAATTAGTTTTCTTCCTAGGGGCCCTCAGGGAAACAGGGCTGAGGTTGCTGGAAGGTGGCCCTGACCATGTTTAATCTCTGTAGAGAAGCTGGGGCAATGGGTCCTGCAATGGTGCCCACATTCCCCACAGCCTCCACCTTGAGGGTACTCCAGGACCTTGTTTTCAGCTGGAACCATCTCACTGCTCACAAGGGACTCCAGGACCCACCTGCTGACCACTGGCCCAGCACACTGGCACCCTGACCTCTGGAGACCTCTGGGCCCCTGTTCTACTCTCTCAGCTGCTTTCTGTTTCATTTTCTTCTATGTCCAGCTCCAACGCCACAGACTTTGTCCTTGTCCCTGTCCCAGGGCCCCGAATGGTACTCAGCATTGCTGGCCTGCACTGCAGCCTGGTGTCCTGACTTAGCCTTCTACTTCAGTGCCATGGCTTCTGGTCCTTTGGTCCCCACCTCCTGGCCCCACCTGGGCCTGGCTTGCTCTGGCCACTCCCTGCTCTGTGGCTGGGTCTCTGGCCTCTGCTGGCTTCCTGGCACTGTTTTCTGAGTATGGCTAGCAGCCTGACCCATCCCTTCTGATGGTCATTACAAAAGTCCGGGCCCTTTGCAGACTCCTGACCCCACTGACTTCCCTCAGTCACAGGGAATGGCCTGGCCTCCACTTCATAGCAGGCCAGGTGGGACTTCCTCACTAAGAGCCTCATCCTCCCCTCCTGCTTCAACTATCTCTATGTCTCAGATCTTCAGCCTTTGCAGGGACTTCCCCTCTTCAATCAATGGGCCTCCTTCTCCTATGTCCTCACCTCCTCCCTTCCTTTCCTGGCTGCCCCATGCCTCCTTGTTCCCCCACCTTAGGATGCCCTCCCAGTCTCCTCAGTTCTGCTCATGTCTAGCCTCCCCTTCTCTGCAGGCTCCTGTGGGATCTTCTCCTCACTCCCCACTACTCACCTCCTGCTTGCTCTTCCACCCACCTGAGGTCTGAGGCCTGAGGCCTCCAGCCCCTGTGCACTGCCCCTCCCAGGTAAGGTGCACTTTGATGCTGCAGTAGCCAACATGAGTCTGCCCTGATCTCACTTGAGCAGATAGCACAGCTCACACAGTTGACCACGCCTGCCCCAGAGAGCCCCTCCCTAGACCTTCCAGAACTCTGACCCTTCCTGGCCTTGCCCCAGCCTCTTTGATGGCTCCACGCCCTATGGGCTTCCTCCGCCCCCGCAATATGATACCCAACCTATGGCTTCAGCTCTTAATGAAATCTGATGACTCCCAATCAGGGTCTCCAGCCCAGACCTTTCCAGGCTTGTATATTCAGCTGCCCAGGGGGCAATTCCCCCGGATGTGCCACAGAGAGTAGGGCCCCTCATATCCCAAACACACTCACCCCCTAAAACCTGCTCCTTCTCCCTTGCTCCTCATGGGGAGGCACTGATCCACCCTCCAGGAGTCAATCCAGCCGTCCGGGAGCCCCTCTCCCCCACCTCCCACCCACTCCACACCTACTGGTGATGGAGTTCTTCCCCTCTGCCCCTAGCTCAGGATTGGCCTTTCCACTCCTCTGTTTCCTCAATGTCTCCACTTAATCCAGGTCATGTCTTCTGCCAGGACAGGAGGATATGCTCAACTCATGTTCTTACTTCTCATCTGGCTTTCTTGATCCATGCACCCACTATCCACTCATTATTTCAACAAACAAGGTTGCTGAGTACCTACAAGGTGGCCTTTCTAAGACCACTTAATGTCCTAACTTCACAAAAGTGTTCAGCACCTTGTTCCTCCTATCAGACTCTCCGTGCTGAAGCTCCTGCCTGGCTCCAATGACTCCCATATGTCCCTAGTGTTTCAGCTCTTCATCTGCCCCTCCCACCTGCACCTGAGATATGCTCAGGCCCAGAGGCGTGAGAGCTTGGCAGCTCATGCATTTCGGAGGTGAGCACGGCTGTGATTATAGTGGTCATGGCCATCTACATCCATGGTCCTCCCATCCTCTCCTCCCTTCCTCCATGGACTGGAGGCGGGCAGAGCTTAGAAGCAGAAATGCCAAAAGGGGCATGGAGAAGGCAGGTCAGGGCTGGCCAGAGGGGCCCGCCAATGAAGCGCTCCAGGGTGTGCGGTATTGGGTGGGAGCAACAGGATCGTGGGTGGGGTGGGGGATGGAATGGCCTCTGGCCCTGGGCAGGGGCTGCTGCTTTGTGCCTTCTGTCCCCATCCATATGCTATGAAAAGGCATTCCAGGGCCATCCAACCAAGCCACTCAGGTTATGCTCAGGAGGTGTCTGGGGAGAGGCTTTGCTAGAACTCTTGAGCCACCTCGAAGGGGCCCATGGTCAGAGCAGCCAGCTCTCCTACCTGTGAGGCATAGAGATCCAGTTTCTCAAACTGCCGCAGGTCCAGGGACATGGATTTCAGGCTGGATCGATCCCAAGGGTAGGCTGGAAACACAGGGCAGCTTGGTCAGCAGCTGAGACCCACTGAGGAGGGCTGTCTGGCCTAGGCCTTGCTGTCTCTTTGAGGAGCTGTGGCTGTCCAACTTTTAAGACAATTCTCAAAGCCTGAAACATTGAGCCTAAGAGCTATATGGGAACTTTCCTAGAAGGGTCCCCTGATCAAGTTAGTTTGGGAACTATGGCAACTCCCACAGTCCTCTTAGAGGCCTACAGGGAACATACGCCTATTGCAGACTCTGAGAAGTCAGAAGTAGGAAACGGGCTTAACCTCAGTTAACCCAGCAGTTCCCAGACATATTGATGATGGAATCTCCTTTTTCCCACCGTTTGGTTTTCCGTGGATTCCCTGTTATTTTTCCCGGGAATGAATGCTCTTTGGGGAGTGTCCAGGCAGTGCTGCTCATGCTCACAGGCTCAAGGAGGGAGGTCTGTGCCACAACCACAGCGCTGGGGTGGAGGTGCCAAAGGACACCTGGGTGGAGAAGGAGGGCATGGAAAGGCCGGGCCATCTGGGTCCTGCAGGGTAAGGCGTGTTTGGCACCCAGATAGGCTTCCTCCTTTGCGCTTGGTCAACTGGAGACTTGAGCATCTCAACCATGTGTGATGGCGTTCTAGTAACAGGGCCCTGAGAAAGGCTGGGCCTCCAAATCACTCATCTATGCTTAGCCTTACTCACAGGGAGCCTCCTGCCCAGAGACCAAGCCATGAGTCAGGTCTCTGAGACAGAGCTACAGGGAGGGGAGAAAACTCGAGACCAGTGCTGATGCAGGGCCAGCAATCATGCAAGCTTCCCACTGGACACAGGACAGCTATAATCAGCTGCTGCTGGGGGGCTGCTGCAAGGCTGCCTGGCCAATGGTTAGACCAACAGATGCATGGACAGCAGACCCCTGTCCCAGCCCAGAAGAGAGCCAGGGCTCTGGCAGATCCTTTCTTAACCAAGGGTCCCTGAGTCAGGCAGATCAAAATCAGAGAAGCTGGGTGGGAAGACAGGATAGAAGTGGGAAGAAGTTGGGACCAAAGAGGAACTCAGCCCCTGACCCAGGTGGACCCACCCACCTTCAGCCTCCATGTCCGGAGCCTCTGGGTGCTGGGCAAGTGAGGTGTGTTGGAGAGGCCCCAGGGTATTGTAGGAAGTCTGGGACGAGTAGGGCCATGTGAGAAAGCACCTGATGGGCCTGCACTTCTACCTTGGTTCCAGTCTGGTTCTGATCTCCACCTTGCTGGGAGGGACTGGACCCAGCTCCCCGGCCTCAGGTACACATCTGTGGGATTCCCGGGAGCATGAATGAGATGGTAAATCATGTGATGTTAGTGACACACTGCTCTCTGGGAGGGTGCAGGGTGTGGGGCTCCTCTGCAAGTGCATGCAGGGAAGGACATGCGGCCTCCCTGCCTGGTGGGGGACACTGCAGGTGCATTTGCCCCCACATCCTCAGGGCTGCCACTGTCAGTGAGAGTCGCTTAATCTGGTGCTATTAGACCTGAAAGATGTGGGGAGGGGTGTGTGTCACCTCTAGACCTCACCCCAGCCCTTTTGTGACCCTCTTCTGGGCCAGCATGGTTTGAGAGGCAATGCCCACTTACTGGGGAGCTGACCAATATTTGGGCCCAGGGGTTTCTTGCCTGGCCACCATGACTTATGTCATCAACCCCTGCCCTGTGTGGTCCAAATGCAGCCAGAGAAGACTGGGGATGCTCAGGCAGGCCCCTGCTGAGCCTTCCCCCTTCTCAGTGCCCTCTCCCTCTGCAGAATATGTTCCTATCATTCTCTCACAAGAGCCATCAGGGTGACCTAAGTGCATTCAAAGTGGACTCACACATCCAACAGATTTCCACTCAGTATAGCTCTGCAAATGAGGCCTCCCTGCACTCCTATTTAGAATAAAGGTGGCATTTCTAAAATGCTATTAAAAACCCTATTACTAGTTTTCCCCTTTCTTGGTTCCATTTTCCAATATCTGAACATTAAAAATGCCCATGATTTATGCCTCATTAAATCTACCTGTGAGGAGATTATATAAGATCTAAATATGATTCTACATAAATATATTTAATATATCAGTGCCATTAAATTATTCTGATTTTAAAGCAAAACAATAGGAAGAAGTATGGCGCTGCACCCAGCCTTAGATAACATCTGGTCTACTAAGGGGGAAACTGAGGCAAAGGGAAGGCAAATGAGGGGCAAAAGCAGGATTCCAACACAGGCTGTCTATCATGCCTCTCATTCCTCTGCCTCACTCTGCTTATTCACATGCCTCCTACCTTACAGACATTTGGCATTCCATTTAAAGTTAACATAATCCTGAATTATGATTTTAATATGTTTCCTATAATGGTCTGCCTTGTTATTGGCGGGTGTACACTTTAGCTTTAGGATGACATCTGGTGCATGAGCTTTTTCCTTCTCCACCTGTATCCATGGCAGACATTGCTAATCAATCATGACACTCTTCCCCTCCTGAACCCAAAGGTGGCCCCAGCCTCTCAGCATAGTGACCCAGGAAGCAACTGCCAATTGGAGATTAGTCTATGGGCTAACCCCATGTGCTCTCTTGAGAATTCTCCTGGAAGACTCTGGAACTTACCATGGGCATCTTTCCCTCCAGGTTGCCGGGGTCTTGTGTTTCCATTTTTATCACCTTGTAAACCTACAATATTCCAAAGATTAGAAGTATAGATACTTCAGAAGAAACAGAAATGCAAGCACTGATGACTCATCTTCTGGTGGTCCTTGCTTTTGACCCCTCCTCTGTACTCTCCTTTTCATAGCCTCCTTGTTCCCACCCCACTGACCACAGAATTGCTGCTGGAATTGCCAGGAACTTCCTAGTATGGCAGAAGGAAGACTAAGAACCAGGAAGTGGCTGACAAGAAAGGGAGCTGCATTCTGCAACTGGAATTAGTATTTGCTCTGACCTAACACTTTGGATGATTCAGTGGGTCCTCCTGGAACCTGGTGTTCCTGCCCTCTTTTGGATTTTCCTGCTTTCTTGAATCCACTGCCAGATAATGCTGGGATAAGAACTGACCATGGATGGAAACAAAGATGCAGAAAGGGGAAAGCAGTTCTAATGGAGGTCAAAACCTAGAAGGGTCAGGTCATAATTAAATTATTCCTTGGGAGGATTAAAGGCCAACTGAATCCCATAAATCTAAGAATGTAAAGGCAGAATCATAGCCAATAGTTATTAGACTCCCTGGGCAAAAGGAAAGGAACTTTTCCTGCTGATCTGGAATCAGGTCAGGAAGATTTGGGTCCCTGATGGGATCAGGAGGAGTTGAAGGTGGGGATGCCAAAGCAGGTAGTTTTATGCCCCTGAAGGCCACTTTAGGCTATAAATATAACAAAGAAGATTGCAACCACACGCAGGTCATTCTGAGAAACAGTGCTCCATTTATTTCTCACACCTGCATTTTGTATTTCGCACCTACATTTTTTTCCCACCTAAGTTTTTGATAGAATGATAAAGGTTCAAAATGATAGCTAGCATTTGTTACACACTTACTCTGCCTGGTTTGGGCTTTACATTTACTCTCTCATTTAACTCATTATAATCTTATGAGGCAGCTTCACTTATTTTCCTTCTTTTATAGATGAGAAAACTGAGTTTAAAAGAGGGGTTAGGCCACTGGCCCAAGGTCACACAGCTGAAACATGAACCAAGACAGTCGACCCTAGAGCCTGCCCTCTTTACAGTAGACTACTCTCTTGAGATCCTGACTGCTGACAACTACAGGACCAGACAGTTTTGGAGGACTTTGGCTCACTGCATGGACCTAAAAAGGACTTGAGCCTCAGTTGTTCTGCAGCCTCTGTTACTTAACCTGCATTCCTCCTGAGGTCCCTGTTTAGCAATAAGGTGGACAGATGCAGGGAAGGGACTGAGAAGGGAGTTGGGGAGACATCATGGTCCTGGGCCTGGGCCTATGTGCACTGCGCTGAGCGCTGAAAAGTATGCTGGTTAAGACCACAGGCTTCAGAGTCATACCTGGGTTCTGACCCACTTCCTAGCTGGGTGACATGGGTAGTCACTTCACCTCTCTAAGCCTCACTTTGCTGATCTAAAAAGTGGGGATGATATTAGTATACATCAAAAGGTTAAAAAGTTAATAAATGTTAAAGTACTTAGCATTTTGCATGCCACTTTTTGGGCAGTAAACAAATGGTATCTAAAAGCCACAGCAACAACACTCTTGTGATGCAATGTGTCTTCAGCTAAATGTCTTGTGTTACCTATGACTAATTCCAGAGATGCAAAATCAGTGGTAGCTGGGTGTGGAGAAAAGAGTCTCCAAGGATGAAGCTGTCATGCTTCTGCCTTTTCCCAGTTTGCAGGCCCATGTCACTCTTCTCCTTCCCTCAGAAGATGCTTGCGCTGGGATCTGGCCCAACCAGCTGCCTTCAATCCTCTCTGCCAGCCCTCCACCATGAGTACCTCTGTCATACATACGTTTAGCCAAGGAGAACTTCTTGAGTAGCTGGGGCATGGCATCTCGAGGATGGACTTCCACAGTCAGTTGTGTCCCTACAAAGGAAAAAGAGATGACATTCTCAACCAGATGCTGCCAGGAAAGGGTAAATGCCTCATGACTGATGATTGAATAACAAAACAATTAGTTTTAGAACTTTCTTTTGTGTGTACAAATCATCCTTGCTTTTTTCTTTAAATCAAAACAACAACAAACCAAGCAGATAGTTTCCAAATTCAGGCAAGATGGAGTAAAGCAAACTCAGCCCTGTCTCTCCCACTGAATGCAATTATAAACAATGTACTGAATGTAAGGGGCAACTATTAGAGGATTCTGCAAAGTAAATAATAGAATAACTGGCAAAGACTGGGAAGAATTTTTAAAGCATTAGCAAATTGACAGTGAATTTACCATTCTTCTTCCCCCTCTGGTATCATCTAGACTGAACTTAAAGGCATTCTCAAACCCAGAAGGGTGCAGTGGATGCAGAAAAAGAGCACACAAGAGAAATCCTCTCTTTCTGGCCTGCAGAGTGAGAAAGGGAACCCCTAAGAGTCAGAGAGAGCGAAAGAAATCTTTTGTTGGTTTTCCCCCTCTTTATTCTGTTATTTCCCAACTCAGTCCCCAGGCAATTCTGTTGGTAGCAATGGCAGCAGTGATGTTGGTGGCCATGCAGGCACCTACAACTCTGGGGCAAGGATAACTATTTTCTTCTACCAGAGAAGTTACAGTCCCAAGAAAATGAGGGCAAATATTTATTGTTTTTTCTCTCTGTTTTCTGCTGATTTGCCCCAGATGCAGACACAGTTGTGAGGCCTATATGGCAGAGTGAGGAAACTGAAGCTCCAGCTTTTTGGGTAGAGGAATGAGAAATGGGTCATGAAGAGGAGGGAGCTCAAGAAGGCAATTCCATAAAGTTGTAGATGGACTCCTGTGGTCACCTCTGAACTGTGCATGCATGGATCTCATCCTAAACATCAGTCTTCAGGAAGTAAACTATGGGGTAGATTAATGCCCAGGTCCCAGACTGGCCACTGGGTAGTGCACATGCAGGGCAGATCTGTATAGCATTGCAAAGTCTACAATTCAAAATTACTCAGCTACAAAGACTCAGGAAAATCTTAATTTGAAAAGGAAAAGATAATCAACAGATGCCAACTCCACACAACTCCACACACAAAAAACCAGCCACAATAACTTGCTCTAACAAGTAATGGCAAGCAGTTTTGAGATAAATGGAAAGATATAAAGTATCAGCAATAAAAAGAAGATATAAAGGAGAAGTAAGTGAAGATTTTAGACTGAAAAATATGGTTAAAAATCCTCTGGATATACTCAATAGCAGAATGAAAATGACAGAGAACACAGAGAACTTGAAGATAGATCAGCAGGTATTGTCCAGTTTGAACAACAGAAAATGTGAATAGTGCCTCAGGGATCTGTAGGTCCATACCTAAAAGTCTAACATTCATGTCACTGAAGTCTCAGAAGGCAAACAGAAATAATGTGATGCAGAGAAAATATTTGAGGAAATAATGAAAACTTCTGAAATCTGGCAAAAGACATAAAACCTTACTGATTCAAGAAACTCAGTGAATTCTAAACAGGATAAATGTAAGAAAATCCAAGTCCAGACACATAATCAAACTATTAAAGAAAAAAATATGGAAAGTAGCCAGTGAAAAGTGATGTAAAGCCAAGAGAATTTGGTACCAACACACTTGCTCCAAAAGAAATGCTAACGGAAGTTCTTCAGATGGAAGAGAAATTATACCAGAGGAAAACTTGGAAGAGGGATAGAAATGGTAAATATCTAGATAAATATATTAGTCTGCTCTCCTCTCAAGTTCTTGACAATATGAATAATAATTGAAAGAAATAATTATAACATCTGATAGGTTTTTGATAGATGTGAAATATATGACAACTACAACATAGAGTAGGAGAGTGAATGTACCTATATGGAGGTAAGATTTCCTCATTCTACTTGAAATATTAATATTAACTATAATTAGTCTATGAAAAGTTAAGTACATATAATACATACAAAAATAGGTATATATGGAGATATAGTAAAAAACTTAATAGGCAAATTTAAATGTAATTCTGAAAGGAAAGGAAAGCAGGAAAGAGGAAACAGAGGCACAAACAGAAAACAAATAATAAAGTAGAAAACCTAAATACAAATGTATCAATAATTACATTAAGTGTAAATGGTCTAAACATACTAATTAAAAAATAGAGATTGTCAGAAAGGGTAAATACATAAGATTAAACTACATTCAGTTTCCAAGGATCCAACTTTAACTACTATGATAAAGGTTGGTTAAGTGAAAAGATAATAGAAAGCTGGAGTTGCTATATTAATATCGGAAAAACAAAACTCAAAAAAAAGAAAAAAACAAGGACACAGGAATATTAGCAAGAATACATAACAACCTTCAATATACCTATGTCAAACAACAACAAAGTTTTAAAATGCATGAAACAAGAACTGATAGGACGAAAAGGAGGAATAGACAAATCTATTTTCTATATATTTGCTGATTTTTCAGTCATTGAAAGAATTAATTGAAAGAAAATCAGCAAATATATAGAAGAAATGAACCACACAATGAATAAAATTTATTTGATGTTTATAAAAGATTCCATCTAATAACGGCACAACACACATTCATGTCAAATGCCCATTGAATAGTCACCAAGATGGACTACATCCTTGGTCACAAAACAAACCTTAAAAAGTTGAAGAGAACTGAAATCATACAAAACTCTTCTCTGACCATAATGAACTAAACTAGAAGTAAAAAACAGAAAGCAACTGGAAAATTTCCAAATATTAAAAATTAACATACTTTCAAATCACACATAGATCAAAGAAGAAGTCTCAAGGAAAATTCGAAAATATTTTGAACTCATTGAAAATGAAAATAAAACACATCAAAATGTGTGAGATGAAGCCAAAGCAGTGCTTCAAGGGGAAATTTGTAGCATTAAATTCTTATTACAGAAAAAAGAAAGGTTTCAAATCAACAATCTAAGCTTCCATTTTAAGAAAGTAGAGAAATGAAGACTAAATCCAAGGCAAGCAGAAGGAAGAAAATCATAAAAATGAGAGAATAAATCACTGAAATTAAAAACAACAGCAGAGAATAATGAATGAAACTAAATGCTGGTTCTTTTTAAAATAATACTGATAAACAGATCAGTAAAGATTTTAGTGATCTGACCAAGAAAAAAAAGAGGTAAGACACAAATCAGGGGTAAATACACCAATATCAGGAATGAAATGAGGGCTATCACTATAGGCCCTCATAAGTATTAAAATAATAATAAAGGAATGATACAAAACCTATGTGTACATAATTTCTACAACTTAGAATAATATTGGGAACAAGTCATAGATGTCCACTTTCACTGATCCTAATAATATTGTACTGGAAGTCCCACCCTGTGTAATAAGACAAGAAAGAGAAATAAAAGGCATACAGATTGGCAAGGAAGAAATAAAACTGTCCTTATTCATAGTCGATATGTCTGTCTACATAGAAAATCCCAAGTAATCTCCAAGAAAAAGCTCCTAGAACTAGTAAGTTAGTTTAGCATGGTCACAGTATACAAGGTTAACATACAAACATCAATTGTATTTCTGTATATTGGCCATAAGCAATTGGAGATGGAATTTAAAAACAACCATTTCCCATACTTCCAAAATTAAAATATTAGTTCTAAATCTAAAACAAACAAAAATCCCAAACATGGGTAATAATCGCGTACTGAAAACTCCAGAATATGATTAAACACATTAAAGAGGACTTAAATAGATAGGGAGACATACCATGTTTATGGATTGGAAGACTTAGAATTGTCAAGTGGGCAGTTCTCTCAAAATTGATCTATAGATTTAATACAAGTTCAACCAAACACTTTGGGGGAACTGTGCAAATACATAATTATAAAATATAGACATCAAGGCACAGGAACTGGAATAACTAAACGAATTTTGAAAAAAAAGATGGGAGGACTCCCACTCTTTGATTTTAAGATGCATTAATGAAGATGCTGTAATCACAACAGTGTGATATTGGTAAGAGGATAAACAGATCAATCAACAGAATAATAAAAAATAGATTCACGCAAACATGGCAAAATAAATTTTTACAAAAGTGCAAAGGCAATTCAATTGGAAAAAGGGAAAAAGAACAGATATTTCACCATAAAAGAGATTATGGATGGAAAATAAGCACATGAAAAGATGTTCAGCATCATCAGCCATTAGGAAAAGGCAAGTTAAAACCAAAATGAGACATTACATCTATTAGAAGAGCAATAATATACAACTGGCCCTTGAACAACATGGTTTTGAACTGCACAAGTCCACTCATATGTCCTTTTTTTCTACCAGATGCAGATGCAGAGTACTGTTCATGGAGTGCAAAACTCGCATGTAGAGGACCAACTTTTCCTATATGGGGTTTCTGCAGGGACGACTGTGGGACTTGAGTATGCCCACATTTGGTTATATGTGGGTGGTCCTGGAACCAATCCCCCATGTATACTGAGGGGTGACTGTAATTTAAAAATAGTGATAATATCATATGCTGACAAGGATGCAAAGAAATTGGATCTCATATATTGCTAGTGGGATTGTAAAATAGAACAGTCACTCTGGAAAATTGTTTGGCAGTTTCTTATAAAACAAAACATGTACTTACCATGCAACCTAAAAATTGCCCTGTTGGGCATTTATCCCAGAGAAATGAAAACTTATGTTCACACAAAAACCTGTACACAAATGTTTATATAGCAGCTCTATTCATAATCACCCCAAACTGGAAACAACTTAAAAGTCCTTCAGTGAGTGAATTGGATAAACAACCTGTGGTACATCTGTATCAAGAAATAGTTCTCGGCTGGGCATGATGGCTCATGCCTGTAATCCCAGCACTTTGGGAGGCCGAGGTGGTTGGATCACTTGAGGTCAGGAGTTTGAGACCAGCCTGGCCAACATGGTGAAACCCCATCTCTATTAAAAATACAGAGATTAGCTGGGTGT